CCGTGTTCTTGTTTCTGAGGGAAACATTTGTGTATCAGGTATGTAAAGTCCTCTATAGCTGACGGAAGGAGTGTGAGTTTTACATGCAAAATTCACTGCATGAAACTGTGTGAAATGTTTCAATTATTTCTATAATAACATTTAACGTATTCCAGATATAGTGCATTAAGCGCACAGCCAAGAAATGTTCCAAGCATACGCTGTTTTTCATTTTGGTGTATTGTAAGTGTATGAAACACATGTTGGGAATATATTTCATATTCTGCATTTGTAAAATATCAAATTTATATCAGCAGAAACCGCAACAGCAGCACAGGAGCTGCCCCCAGAGCACGGCCATTTTGCAATCAAACTTTTAACACCACATTATCATTTTAAAGGACAAATCTCCTGGTTGAAACGAAGAAAATGATTTTCACAACTCGTGGCAATTTTCTTGATATATTTATTACACAGCTTTCAAAATACACACTCAATAAGAATTAGTCTTAGACACGTCGGTGGCTTCCCAGAGCTCTGGGGACAATCCACTCATCATGCTAGTTCTCAGGGTCCCCTGTGGCCTTGTCCCACAGCCTCTCAGACCACTTCAGCTCTTGCTCTTCCATGTTCACATTTCCATGGAACATGCCTCATCAATAGTCTACCAGTCTCTGTATGATCTTTAGCTTGTCATTCCCTCCATCTGGAATGCTGTTTCTTTGGCCCCTCTTCACGTGGTTGGGGCCTTCTCCCCATTCAAGTCCTAATGCAAATGCCACTTCTCCTGAAGGTTCGTCTCTGATCACCTTATCTACATAGCTTCTCTCCACTCTCATCATACCCATTGCCGGGGAGTCGATTCCGACTCACAGCGACCTTAAAGGACAGAGTAGAATTGCCCCATAGGGTTTCTAAGGCCGTAATCTTTACCGAAGCAGGCTGCCACATCTTTCTCCCGAGGAGCGGCTGGTGGGTTCGAACAGCCAACCTTTTGGTTAGCAGCCAAGCACTTAACTACTGCACCACTAGGGCTCCTTATTCTCATCATAGCCCTATTAATTCCTGTCTCAGACCATTCTGCATATTATATTTATCACAACTAGTAAAATCATGTGTTTGCTTGCTCCTATATTCTCTCCTTTGAGATCAGTGTCCAGAAAACTAGAACCTACAGGCCAAGCCTGACTTTCTGCCCTGCTCTTAGAAATAAAGTTTTATTGGAACACAGCCACACCCATTGGCTTATGTATTACCTGTGGCTTGCTTCTCTGTTACAACAGCAGAGTTGAACAGTTGCAACAGAGACCATCTGGCAAACAAAGCAAAAAATATTTACTATTGGGCTCTTTATTAAAAAAAAAAAAAAAGTCAATTCCTTTTCTAGGTCACAAGCTCCTATAGTGCAGAGGTTAAGTTGATATATCATGAGTATGTTGGTAATAAGACCGATCCTTGAGCCACAGTAGCTGGTATCAGATTCCAGCTCCACCAATGATTTAGCTGTGTGACACAGGGCAAGTTGCTTAATGTCTCTGTTGCTCAGTTTTCTCATCTGTCAAAGAGGGATAATATGAATACCTGCCTCACTGGTTTGTTAAGAGGATTTGGTGCATTAATATCTGCAACGTACTGAGAAGAGCTTGTAGCATGTAGCAGACACTACCTATCTGATACCTAGCATTACTTGATGTTTTCTCAGTGCCTGACTAAAAGGAATGTGCACTTCATAAATGACTAAGAAGTCAATCAAAATAGATAAATAAATAATACACTATCACTAATTTACTAACCAAACCAAACCCATTGCTGTCGAGTCGATTCCAACCACTGTGCGACCAGGGCTCCACTAATTCGCTAGTAAATAGTAAATTAATAAATTAAAAAAATGAAACATCTCCTTTGAATCTGCCATAGCCTTTTATTTGGACAGCTGTATTGGCACAGTTTAAGAGCTTGGCTGCTAACCAAAAGGTTGACAGTTCGAATCCACTCGCCGCTCCTTGGAAACTCTGTGAGGCAGTTCTACTCTGTCCTACAGGGTCACTATGAGTTGGAATCGACTAGATGGCAATGGGTTTTTGCTTTTTTTCTACTAAGATAGACCATGTACTGTATTTTATTAAAATATTTTTTATCATTTTATATTTCCCCCTATATTCCTTGAGGGCAGGAGGGGATTATCCTGTTCATATTTGTATCCTGCAGTGACAAGGACCATCCCTGGAACACAAGCTAGACTTAGTATGAACATGTGTTGAATGAATTGACAACAGAGGAACCCAAAGAAATTTAAGAAACTTTGTATATTAACCATTAACTTTCTGAATTAATTTTTATTATAAATTTCTAGAGTAACTAGTCTGTGGATGACGTTTTGCTATGGATGCTGCAAAAATATATCATAGTCCCTAACTTCAAGAAAATTATAAACTAATCCCAAAAAATCAAACCCATTGCTGTAGAGTGGATTCTGACTGATTGTGAGTTTGTAGGACAGAGCAGAACTGCCCTCATAGGGTTTCCAAGGCTGTAATCTTTAGGGAAGCCGACTGCCACATCTTCATCCCATGGAGTGGCTAATGGGTTCAAATCACCGACCTTTTGGTTAGCAGCTGTGCACTTAAGCACTGTGCTAACATGTCTCCTTTATAAACCGGTGGAGAAAGGCAAAAGCACAAAAAACACCTATACACAGATAATATTTCATCCATGGAAAAGTATCCTGTGAAATGCTACGGGAATCCAGTGGAAGAAGACACCATTTCCAGCATTGCATAAAGAGAACCAGAAAAATGTTGTGAAAGTATATGAATAATTATCTCCTTCTAGCCCGACTTTCTAGCAAACAACGTGCCTGACTATATTTTTCCCCTACTGGATTGGTTAAATCCCACATTTGTTTTGCTTTATTATGAGTTAACTTGTGGTTATGTCTATCCACACTCACTAACACACCTATGAATTCACTCAGACCTAATGAAATGGATTAAATAAAACTCATGAGGGTTTTTTGGATTCTTGTAGGCAAGGCTTGAGCACTAATCTCTGTTTGATGACTTTTGGGCAACATATTAGGAAGCCAAGAAATTAGTGAAGCTGCTTGACCTCATCAGTACATTAGCATTTAATAAACTGTTCCTAACTATCAGTAAGCCAGTCTCTGTGTTCCGCTGCAAACACTAACCACAGAGAGTCATATTTGATGAAGAGCCAGGAAGAAACACAATCAAACGCTTCATCTCCCATGAAGAATGACTTGATCATTTTGAATGTCATGATCAGTTAAAATAGCTAATCAGGGAGGCTTGTGTAGGCGCAGCATTGGCTACTGTGATCTACTTTGTATGTGTGTGTTTCCATATTTTTCCACTTCTTTTTACTTGGTAAAAGTGGCTTGAACCAAATGTGAATGTACCTGGCAAGATGTGTTACGTTTCACAAATTTCTAATCAAAGGGGAGGATCCAGGACCCTTAATGCCAGCTTGGGCCTGAGGCATCCTGCAATTAACATTGTCAACTGCCTGCAAACAGTTACCTCACATTACCTCAGTGCATGAGGCCATGTTTGCACATGAGAGCAGGCTGCCGAGTATGGCTTAGCCAAAAGCCTGACTTCTGGAAATCATTTTCTACCACGTGCACGTTGCAATAAATCTGCAAAATAACTTAAGCAAAGAGACCCAGGGTGATTTTTCTTCTTTCATTTTTTTCTCCCCACCCCCACCCAAGTAAGCTGTAAAACTAAGTCTCCTTTATCACAAAAGTCTCCACGATATAATCCAATGACTTTTAGGGTTGGCTTTTGCACAGGTTTGTCTCTTCCTGTGCCGCTAAATCCTATCAGCTGCTCTGGATTTGCATTTGATGGTGATTGCTGAGGTGGGAGAGACAGTGGCTGCATTTGTTGGCTACTTTTTCACAAGAGGTAGGGATCAAGAGCACAGGTTTTGGTGTTCGTGGACTTTGCTGGATATATAGGTTATTTTGTTAGATTGTTGTTTTTTTTTTTTAATTTGGTCTTTGGTCAATTTGTCAAAGATAAAAAATATTGAGATCTGGACTTTATTCTACTTTTGTTTCATACTAAATTATATATAATATCATAGTCAAATTATTGGGCAGTTATACGGGCAACGGAAACCAAGTGCTGTTTGTCTAAACACAACGGTTTATGTATCAATATTTTTGATAATTGTAAATCTTCTAAAATCAAATAAATGTTATATATATATGTGTGTTTATCTACACACACATATGTAAATATATATGCATGTATATATATATACCACTTTTGACAGAAATCAACCTGTGGCCAACCCAGGTGTTAAATGCATTGAGTAGGATGAGTTGCAATTCAGTTTTTTGGAAAAGCTTTGATTCAGCTTTCCCCAAATGACCGTCCCCCTAACTCCAGCCTGCCTTCTGTAGTTGTAGCTACCGTGATGGGTCTTAACACACCTGGGTTTTAGTCGTGGTGATGTGCTTCATGAGCTGTGTGACTTGACAAGTTATTCAGCCTTTCTCTTACAGTAAAATGGAGAACATACTTATGTTAATTCCTCACAATTTTATTTTATTTTTTAGTCTTCAACTGGCTGATAGACTTTTTATATTTAAATGTTGGCAAAAATATACATAACAAACATAGTCATCTCAACAAGTTCTACACGTACAATTCAGTCACATTGATTAGATTCTTCAAATTGGGCAAGTATTCTCAATATTCTTTTCCAAATCATTCCTTCACTGTTAATAAAACTCAAAGCCACTTAAACAAAAGCTCCCCCTTTCTCCCTCCCTGCCACCCCCTAGTAACTACTAATAATCTTTGGTTTCCATATGTTTGCTTATTTCATATACATGAGATCATACAAAATTTATTCTTTTGCGACTGACTTACTTTGCTCAACACTTTTTTTTTTTTTTTTTTTTTAGGTTCTCATTCAAAAATTTACACACAAATTGTTTTGTGACATTGGTTGCAATCCCTGCAAGGTGTCAGCACTCTCCTCCTTTCAAAAATATGGAATGCTTCACGAATTTTCGTGTGGTCCTTACGCAGGGGCCGTGCTAATCTCCGTGTCTTTCCAATTTTAGTATATATGCTGCTGAAGGCAGCACTCATCAGCATCGTGTTTTCAAGGTTCATCCGTCTTGTGGCTCGCACCAGGACTGAGTTTCTCCTGATGGCTGCGTAGCATTTCATTGTGTGTATGTAACACATTTTGTTCATCCATTCATCTGATGATGGACATTTTGATTGTTTCCACCTTTTGGCTATTGTGAAAAGTGCTGCAGTGAACGTCAGTGTACAGGTTTCTGTTTACGCTTCTGCCTTCACTTTTTCTGGGTATATTCTAGGATTAGGATTGCTGGGTCATGTGGTAGTTCTATGTTCAGCTTTGTGAGGAATCTCCAAATTGTCTTTCACAGCGGCTGTACCATTTTACATTCCCACTAGCAACGGATGAGGCTTCCAGCTTCTCCACAAGCCCGCCAACACCTATTGTTCTCCTTTTTTTTTTTTTGATCATTGCCATTCTAATAGGGCTGAGGTAGTATCTCATTGTGGTTTTGACTTGTCTTGCATCTCTCTAACTTCTAATGACATTGAGCATCTTTTCACATGCGTGCTGGCCATTTGAATATCCTCTTTGTTGAACTCTCTGTTGCTTGTTTTTTGTTGAGTTGTCTTTTTGTTGTTATCCTCACAAAAATTTTGATATGTAATATATTTTGAAAATGTTAGTAGTATTAGACATAAATATTGCTAACATTATTGGAATTACAATTTAGTGATCATTATTATTTTTCTCCTCTATATTCCTCTTTTTAGTTCTTTCTTATTTCCACCTCTTTCCTAATATATCTCTGAAAAGTCATACCCTTTCGGTGAGACAGTACACAATACTGGGGAAACCAGTACAACTTGTACAAGGAAAGGTCATGGAAGCTCCATAGACACTTCCAAACTCTCTGAGGAACTGAATTGCTGGGCAGAGGGCTGTGGGGACTATGGTCTCGGGGAACATCTAGCTCAATTGGCATGACACAACTTATAAAGACAATACGCTACATTCTACCTTGGTGAGTAGCGTCTGAGGTCTTAAAAGCCTGTGAGCAGTCATCTAGGGTACTCCACTGGTCTCATCCCTTCGGGAGCAAGGGAGAATGAAGAGAACAGGATACAAGAAAAAGATTAGTCCAAAGGACTAATGGACCACAGCTGCCAAGGCCTACACCAGACTGAGTCCAGTACAGCTAGATGGTGTCCGGCTACCACCACTGACTGCTCTGACCGGGACAAAAACAGAGGGTTCTGGACAGAGCTGGATAAGGATGTAGAACAAAATTCTAACACACACAAAAAAAGACCAGACTTACTGGCCTGACAGAGACTGGAAAAACCCCGAGAGTATGGCCCCCAGACACGCTTTTGGCTCAGTGGTGAAGTCACTTCCGAGGTTCACAGTTCAGCCGGGGGTTGGATAGCCCCATAAAACAGAACAGGACTAATGAGGCACAGCAGTCCAGGGACAAAGGCTAGAAGGCAAAAGGGGACAGGAAAGCCGGTGATAGGGAGCCCAAGGTTGAATAAGGAGTGTTGATGTGAAGAGAGATTGTTAACCATTGTCATAGGGCAACACGTGTACTAACTGTTTAATGAGAAACTATTTTGTTCTGTAAACTTTCATCTAAAGTGAGAATAGAAGCACAATTGGAAGAGCGTAGTCGATGTCACTGAACTGCATGTAGAAATTTTTGAAATGGTGTATCTTTGGCTATGTATATTTTCACCAAAAAGAAAAAAAAAGGTCGAGAAGGGAGAGGGTTGCCATGTCGTGGGGTTGTTAACCAATACTGTTTAATGAGAAGCTATTTGTTCTGTAAACCTTCACCTGAAGTACAATTAAAAAAAAAAATTTTCAAGAAAAAAAAAAAGTCATACCCTTTCTCTAAGATGGGTTGGCAAACTCTTTTTGTAATGGTCCGTATAGTAAACATTTTCAGATCTGCAAGCCATATAGTCTCTGTTGCAATTACTTAGTTCAATCATGTATAGGAAACCCTATGGGGCAGTTCTATTCTGTCATACAGGGTTCCTATGAATCCGAATCAACTGAACAGCACACAACAATATTATGGCAGCACAAAAGTAGCCAGAAAAAACACAAAACCAAAACTCATTGCCATCGAGTCGATTTCAACTCATAGCAACCCTATAGGACAGAGTAGAACTGCCCTATAAGGTCTCCAAGGAGCAGATGGTGGATCTGAATTGCTGACCTTTTGGTTAGCAGCCTAGCTCTTAACCATTGTGCCACCGGGACTCCAAAAATAGACAGAGGTCGTAGTAAATGAATGGTCATGGCTGTGTTCTAATAAAACTTTGTTTATGAACACTGAAATTTGACTTTCATATAATTTTCATGTGTTATGAAATATTATTCTTCTTTTGATATTTCTTTCAACCATATAAAAACATAGAGGAGATCATTCTTAGACTTTGGCCTGGCAAAAAACAAGTGGTGGGCCAGATTTAGCCTGAGGGCTACAGTTTGCTGAATTCTGCTCTAAGCCAAAATCTAACCTTTTACCCTTCCCAGTAGGAATGTCAGATCTTGGCTTAAAAGAAGGGTACTAGTACTCAGAGGATCCCTGGTGGTGCAGTGGTTAATTGCTCAGCTGCAAACCAAAAGGTCAGCAGTTTAAATCCACCAACCACTCCTTGGAAACCCTATGGGGCAGTTCTACTCTGTCCTATAAGGTCGCTATGAGACGGAATCGACTCAATGGCAATGGTTTGGTTTTGGTTTAGTACTTGGAAATACATTAAGAAAGAAATCATCCCAATTCCCAGATTTGCCCTCTACTTTAAGTTCCATGAGGAAAAACTAAATGAATGTTTTAAAAATGTAATCAGTAACGTATGTCTTTGAAACCATTAGTCTTCAGATAGAAGCAATGCAAATTGCTAACTTCAGATGCAATTCGTACGTTTGGCTCACTGCAATTTTCAATGCAGGTGTCACTAATACTGTAATATTTTGGAGTGAAAAAGTAAGCTAGCAATCACTAAATCCTCTCTCTCATTTCATAAACAAGCGAGCGAGCTGCTGTCCCACCGAAGTCAAATAGTTTGGTCAAAATTAAAGTGGCAGAGACGAACTAGAACTCATATGACCCAAAAGGGGCTCTTTTCAGTACACTATTACAGTTTCACTGTAATTGTCCCTGGAAGCTCATTCAAAGCAAACACAGAACCAAATAAACCAACACTTGGGCCCTTCAATAATTCTGTGTGAAAATGCTGATCCAGTCATTTCTTCCTCGTTTGAGAATTAGATGGCAACAAGAGGTATTTGAATAAATGCCAGTGGCCTGCTAAGTAGCCCCTGCTTTCAGGTAAAGTTGTAGAGCAAGCAACTCTGGTGTCCAGCCGCCAGACATGACCACCGCCTGCGTTTATATCACACGTCTTTTCCATGGACTACTAAAAAACTCCTGGTTATTTTCCTTAGATAACTTGCCCTAGCAAGTGTGTCATCGTGGGAATTTCCTTTCAGTTTGGCCAGTGGGATCCATCCCCAACAGACTTTCTAATCAAGCCTGGGGCCAGGCCCTTCCACAAGTTCACAGCTCCACCATCACCTGGAGCCACATTTCAAATCCTGCAGTCTTTCATTCTCATGCAAACAGACACCAAAATGGAAAGGCGGTGCATATATTATCCACATCTGTCTGCTACAAATCCTGCTCAGTTTCATGCTTTTAGGACAAATTCCAGGCAAAGGGCCACTGGGAGAGGCTCCATTTCTCTGTACCCCATGCCCAACTCTGTCAGTTAGGCGGCAGAATAATTTCTTTCATAAGGTCTGTCCCAGCCAAACAAAACATACCCGTGCCCTGTGGCATGAGCTTTCTGAAGGGAAGGGACTGTGTTCTGAATTACACTCCAAGGGGAGTTGACCTGAGATCAGATGCCTTAAGACCTGGAAAGCAATGAGACAGGAATATATCAAAGATGAACTTTATCATTTGGTATGGTTGGAAAATCAATTTTCCATATATGTAACCGTGGCATGGATAGAATCCACCTCTCTCAGACCCCAGCTCTCCTTTCCCCATGGTATAAATTAAAAGGACTGCATTTGTATTTGGGTATCAACACTAAAGAAACAAGCATCTCAAGGTTGGAGCCGATCAGCTGAAAGGAGAGAGAAACAAGCCTTCTTTAAGAAAGAAATGGAAAGATGTCCTTTACATGCACAGATTAAATTAGCGAAAAAAATATAGGTCTATTCAAGACCTCTGCTGTGCTTCCTCCTGCATCTAACGGAAAAATTGTTCCTGATCCAGGTTTTTATTATTATTGTTATTATTTGAAATGCCACCTTAGAAAAAAATTTCCATTCGATACCCACCTTGCTAGGAGAGGCTTGGTACAAAAATAAATAGCTGAAAATGTGCTGTGACTGAAATAGTGTTAGCCAAATTAATGCTAAATTTCCATCTGGACTTCTATGTGCTACCACTCAGAAATATTTTTTGGATCGCATTTCTATTGAACCTTCTTTTTTTTTTTTTAAGTTTCTCTCCATTTGCTGATCATCTTCTGTCATGGAGTTGGGTAATTACTCAAAGACAGATTGTTGTTTCCTTAGCATCCTTCAACTGCTCTCCCATTTCTAGAAGGTGGATAACATTGTGTGATGCTACTGAGGGAGGAGACCTCTAAATGAGGTCTTTTCCTCCAGTTGGCTGCTGGACATTTTAGCAGATGTGTTCTTTTAAGGAGCCCTGCTGGTGCAGTGGTTAAGTGCTCAGCTGCTACCCAAAAGGTCAGCAGTTTGAACCCACCAGCCGCTTGGTGGGAGAAAGATGTGGCAGTCTACTTCTGTAGATTGCAGCCTTGGAGACTCTGTGGGGCAGTTCTACTCTGTCCTACAGGGTTGCTATGAGTTGGAGTCCACTCAATGGCAGTCTTAAGTTTGGTTTTGGTTTGGTTATTCTTAGGTAGAATGTAAAGAATCAATGAGGGCAAGACCTTGACAACAAGACCCATTTATCTTTATATCTCTTCATGGTGCCTTGCACGTAGTTCTGCAAATTTTAATGAA